GCCCGCTTCCTAAATAGATATTATGCATAGATTAAGAGCAGCAGCTTTGGGATCAGACAAATCCCGACACCATCTCTCACTCGATTTGCAGGACCTTGGATGAGCCATTTAATTTCTCATGTATAACCTGGTGATTGCAATAATGACTTAATGTAGCTCTTTTGAGGCATGAGATGTGAAGAGGTGCTTGACACAGTGGCCGGTATCAATCAAATAATAAATGATGGGAAGTGTGATAACTGCTACTGATAATTGAGGACTTCTGGGTGCCAGATGCTCTCCTAAGCACTTGAGATGAATGAAGCATATAAGATCATCTAATGCACACATCAGCCTGTGAAGTTGTTACTATCCCCATTTTACAGTTGAGGAAAATAAGCCCCAGAGGGCTTATCCAGGGTCACCCACGTGGAAAGGATTTGAATCCAGGCAGCTGGGCTCCCAGGCCAGGCGTGCTGACTGCTACTGTTGCGCAGTAAGCGTGTGGGTGAGGGCGGATGAGAAACAGAGGCAGGGAGAGGACCACACTGACTTTTTCTTCCAGGTGGGATTTTATTCATCTTATGACTCAGGTCATAAGTACACAGAATGAAAACACTTCAGGAGTTTTTTTTGGAGCTTATTTAGTTTCAGTTTACAAGATGACAAACTCCAGTCTCTCTCTTCCCCTTCTCTCCTCACTGGTAACAAAGACTTCATACAGTTAGGATTTATATGGTGGGCGCTGGGGACGGCCCCCGCCTGGACCACAACTCCCTGTAGCAAGCACTCCATATTGAGGACCTGTGGTGTCTTTGGAGCTCATAATTGTTTGGGGGAAAACAGTTTCAAATGGCCATGAATCCTTGGTGGTAGCCCACGGTTTGATGCTGGTGGGATAGGGGCATTAAGTAATGAGAACCAGCAGAGATACCATTTTTAAAAATGTAAGTGCATGTTTAAAGCTTGTTTTGTAGCTGGCCCTCCCCCGGGGTCAGCCAGAGGCTGTCGCTGCCTGCGGAGGATTATGATGGATCCTTTCTCTTTGCAATCACAATAGAACATGGCTTAACACTGACTCCCAAAGTAGGATTTGAAGCTTATAGTGAGACAATAATCTCCAAAGTCAGGTATCATGGCCTTTTAAAATTTTCAAACTCCCTTCTATATAGAAAGCTCCATGCCAGGCCAGCTCAGAGCATAGCTGTGTCCTAAGCAATGAGGAGAGAGAACAGAAGGGGTTTCCAGCTGCTGGAAGAAACATCCACTACAGGTGGGGAAAGAAAGAGGTTCAGAACGGGCAAAATTAAGGTGAGTCTAAATTAATCTTAGGTCCTCAAAGGGCCCACGGTCCTGGGTGGGTGGGACTGGAAAAAAGAGAAAGGCAAGGAGATAGACATCCTATCTTTGGGGTGGGAGATCCTCTGTGGGGTTGATATGGGGGTGTGGTGAATAAGTAGAAAGAGGGTGATACTCCATACCCATTTCCTTTGGGCCCCCAGTGCCTGATTAGGAAGGGTCCAGAAGATCCTCTACTAATGACAGCTGACAGGCTCAGCCGACAAGCTCCCAGAGGGGTGGGCAGTGGGGTAGGCAAAATGACTACTTCATCTCCTTCGCTGCTCTTCCAAAGCTAGAGAGCAGGGCTTGGATCTTCAGTCTTTGCACACCCATGGTGCCTAGTACTGTGTTTTTCCCAGGCAAGGTTTTTCTGCTGAATAAAACCCCCACTCACAAGGATATGCAAGGGCCATGCTGAGTGGTACGGTTCTTCTCTTTGACACCACAGAACACTCACACTAAAATTATATTGACTTGAAGGCAGCCTCATGGCAACCCCCTACTCCCCTCCAAGTTTCCATTATGATCAAGACTTTGGGCCAGGTCTTTGGGAGGAAGAGCTAGGATAATTTAGATTTACTTAGAGCCGTGGAATGTAGGCCTCCTCTGAGCCTCCAGTGCCCTGGTATCCCCTCTAGGTTTCTCTTGTGAACTTGAGTTTGAAGTTACATCTCTTTGTCCTCATATTCCTTATTCAATGGTCAGTATCTTGAGTGCTTAATATGTGTCTGGAACTTGCCAAGAACTTTATATACATTTACTCATTTAACATCAGCTCATTTACAGAGTAAATCTCTAAGTTCTATTATTATCACCCCCATTTTGCAGGTGAGAAAACTGAGGCATGGGGCCATTTAGTAACTTGCACAGAGAATTGGCAGAGCCGAGGTTCATCCCAAGCAGTGAGACCGCAGGGCCTTCACCCCATGCTGTTTCTGATCTCCCTGTGTGTCTTTATGGGGCCTGGCAGATAACAGGTGCTCAGTGAAGACAGTTTTAAAGACTTATCACCTCATCAACCCTTACTACCAATGTGCTATGATGGTATAGTTCTCCTCAACGGATCTGCTCTCCCTGAATGGCAACTGGAAAAGTCTTTGGACTTCTTTTTCTGACTTCCTTGATAGTTTTGCGTTCCTGATCACCCTGCCCAGACTGTAGCAGGCGCTCCAGAAAGACAGAAGCTCTGAAATCATAATGGCCTCAATGAGGACTCACTTCCAACTTTGGCCTGCAACAGGTTCCCTGCCCAGCCAAACTGCACCATCACCAGGAAGCGAGCTGGCAGTCCTCTCATTGAATCCCTGTGACGCATGGATGAGAGACCATCCGTCCTGCCCTGGAGCCAGGGGAATGCACCCAGTGAACTCTGCTGTACTTCCAGTCTTCAGACTCCACACTGACCAGAGTCATCTTTGTGGTTTTAAAATATTCACCATTTTGTTGTTTAACTAGCCCCAGGAAACGACACTAATGTATGAATAGTCCTACTTTACAGCCTGTCCACACTCTACACACTCCTTTAAAGCCTAGTTCAAATGGTACCTCCTCCAGGAGGCCTCCCTTGCTTATCCAAATGGAACTGAACTTCTCATCTGAACCGCAGTCTGTACCTTTTCTGTGCCATTCACTCCCTAGTGCCTCTATCTATTTAGTTTTCCCTGATCTTGCCTTGTTCTTAGCTCCGGGCAGGGTCCAGATTGCATACATGCTTGGGCCACAACCTCAGTTCCTTGCAAACAGATGTTGTTCCAACATTGATTGATATGTTTAATGAATCCCATATTTCAAGAACTCAAACTGACCAAACATAACTCAGGGGTGGTTTTCTCCATAGAAAGGGAGCTGTGAGTCACAAATCCTGTCCCCATGCTTCACCTCACTCCCCACCCCCACGCCACCCCTTTGGGAATAACAACATTAACAACCACTACTTTAGCTCTGCTGTGCACCAAGCCCTCTGTAAAAGACTTTTCTTACAGTGCTTTTCTTAATCAGCGTCAGGAACTCACAATTTGTATCTCCATTCTGCTGAGCAGAAAACCTGTTAGAGAAATTGCATCGCCTGCCAAGGCTGTACAACTAGTGGGCAGGAGAGCCAGAACTGGAAGCCAGGTCTAATTTCAAAGACGTTGCTCTTAGCTTCCTGAGGTCCAGACTGTCTTTGGCCCCTAAGGCGGTCTCTCCGTCTCGGGGTCTGATGAAGTGGTTCCATCTATCTGGAGTCACACAGGCGTGCACTCTTTTTCTGTAGCAGGGTGTCCTAGTGATTTGAATGCAGTTCCTGGAGTTGCCTCCTTTCCCACTGAAATGACCCAGAGTGCACTTTGCCTCCTCCTGAAGCCGGGCTCTAGATGTGTGCTGTCCTGGCCACAGCTCTTCCTTTGTCTTCTCCAACTGCCCCTCCCCGCCCCCAAAACAACTAAATGCATCAATAAACATTTTCGATTGTGACTCTAGAGTCTGAATTGAACCCCACCAACAAGAGGCCCTTTAAAATACAGGCACTTCCAGAAGCTCCGCTGTAGACGGAGATAGGGGGGTGCACTTGTTACCGTGGTACCTCGGAACTGGAGTGAACGAGCATGGGCTGGGGTGGGGGCGTCTCTCCCGCTGCCACTGCATTTGACCCCCAGTACCCGCGGCAGCCCCAGCCTGAAGTACACACAGAAGGGGGAGGCAAGGCCGGGCAACCAGTCCCTGAGGCGGGCGCTGGTCCCCGCGTAGTTGAGGGGCCCCCGAAACCTTTCCTGGTCCACAGAGCAGTGTTGCTGGCCGCCGCCCCCGCGTGGCGGTTCCGGCCGGGGCGCGCGGTGTGGGGAAGCCCAGGCCAGGTGGCCCAGGGCGGAGATCCCAAGGCTAGCCCCTCGCTCCCCACCGCGCCCCGCCGGCCCGTGGTCCCCACCGCGCCCCGACACCTGGAGTGTATTAGGCGGCAGCGCGTGTTTCGGCGATAGTGGCTTCCCCGGATTATTGAATAATTGTATAATTCCGAGCGCAGGATGGGGGGCCGTGCCTTGTCCTTGCTTCGAGTGTCAGATACTAAAATTTCCGGGGTCTCTGGACTGCGAAGCCGGTCCCCGCCGCCTTTGGCCTGGCCGCTCACCACTGTCTTGGGGCCGACAGCCCTGGGGCTCGCTTCTTCCCTGGCCGCAGGGACTCTGGGCAGCTCTCGGCTGCCAGGTCTTCCCGGCCCTCCGGGACCGCCGCGCCCGGCTCTCTACACCGCAGGATGCGCCCTCCGCGCCGGGCAGGAGGGCAACGAGGCAGCGTTCACTCCGAGCATCCCATTCCCTTCCCAGCCAGGGCTGCGCGCTGCTGGTGCTCCCGGGACGCCCGAGTGTCCCCAGCAGCGGTGCGGGAACCCCGGCGTGGCCCTTGGAGGTAACCAGGAAGTCCGGGGGGGCCACCAGCCCTCAGAGCTTTTCAACTGGAGCCCTTCAACTCTTTCCGAACACACTAAACTACTGGCTCCAAGTCGCTCCCGCGAGCCTCCCTCTTTTATGGAACTTGGCGGAGCCGCTAGATTGCAGCCAGTTCCCGGAGTACCCGCTTCCCCAAGAGTAACCAAGGTCTGACCCTGGAGGCGCACCGTGTCCCGCTCCTGGCGGCTAGATCCAAGGCCCCGACTGGCCAGGGAGCCGCTCCCGGAGTCAAGGGGAGGCAAAAGGGGCACGTACCTGGCCACAGGCTGAGCGTCCAGGCCACCAGGAGGCCCCTGGGCAGGTCCATGGCCCGCGGCGCGTCGGCGGGTGCCGTGTGCGGAGCGGCGGCGGGGGGCGGCGGGCCAGAGCGGCAGCCTCCGGGGCGCGGCGCCTCAGCCTGCACTGCGCGCCTGCCGCGCGCGCGGCTCCCTGACAGCCGGCTTGTTCAGAGGAAGTGGGAGGGCTCGGGCGGCGGGGAGGGGCGCCGGACAGCACTCCGGCTCTGGCTCCCCTCCAGATTAGGCCCCTCTGCCACCTGGGCAGGCTGCATGCCGCCGCCTCGACGCCGTCTCCAGGTCTCTCCCCCAGCCCCCACCTCTGCCTTAGGAGAAAATCCCGGAGAACTGCTCCTGGGAACCACCTTGCCAGGGTAGCGCCTTCCTGTACACCACCGTCGCCCAATTCAGAGTCTGTTCAGGAAAAGTAGTTTATATTTCCATTTCCCCGAAGAAAGAGCTTCACAAAGCTGGGAAGGAAAGGTACCAAAGGTGACACAGGAGCATGGGTGGTGGCTCAAGTCTCCCTTAGCCAAGGGGAGTAGATGTACCTCAAAAGTCTATCCTGAGACACCCCCTTGCCTCCCTGCACCATGGGGTTTGGAATGAATATAAGGCGCAGTGCTTCTTCTGACCCTGGAATAAATGCAGAACCCTCCTCCACGCTCTCCATCCCTCACACCTGAGGCTTCCTAAAGCTCCCAGGAGGACTCCATGCCCACAGCAGTGAAACTTTTTGGAACCCAGCCACCTTCCTTCCCAGCTCTTCTAACCACTGACAATTAAATTCAATGCACAGTTGTTGCACAAGCTTTACATCAGGCCCTGGACCACAACCCATGGGTGTGGAGGCTGGCCTTCCCAGCAGGGGAGAAAGCTGAGGCGGAGGGGAGGGTGGCAAGCGTGGGGAAGACTACAGCAGAGGCCCGTCATCGCTTTCTCAGGAAAGCCGTCTGTTCCCCCCACCCCTTATCCTCAACAGGTCCTACTGCCAGATACATCTCTCTCTCCCTCTCTCTCTCCATTGTACTTAATACAGAAACTACACATCAACTGGTGTAATCACTTGAACTTTTTCTCTCCTTGTCTAGACTGAAAACACCATTAGGGTAGAAATCTGCTTGGTTCTCAACTGAGCACTCAACGCCCTCCCCACCAGGAACACAGTAGGTGGGTGGATAGGTCGATGGGTGGGTGGGTGAGTGGAGGGGTATGGGGTGCACAGAGGTTGTAGTTTTCTGTCTGGGAGGGGTTGGAAGTGCTTACCAAAAGAGGTGGCATTCAGGCTGAGTCAGGGAGGATAAGGTGGATTTTGAGCCCAGGTTCACATAAGCAGAGTAGTGGGCACTGTGCTCTTTTCTTGATAGCTATTTTGTTTTTCATTTTGGTATCCTCACCTCTTTTTGTCATCCACAGACTTTGGAGGAAGCTGATACCATCCCTGGGGCGTTGGGGGATGAGGTAGGGAGATACGTGGTTTAGGCAGAAAGGAATCAGTGTACTGCCATTCCCTGTCCATAGTTTTGAAAAAGGGCACCATGACAAAGGAAAAAGGTTTTCTGGGAAACAAGCTTTCTTGCTCTTCTGAAAGAGCTCGTAGGATGAACGAACGAACGAACAAACTAACTTTTTCCAGTTATGTGCCCAGTGTCCCCTTTATTGTTTAAGTGGGTTTGAGGCAGGATGCTTTGAACTCAGAGCACCCTGATAACAGCTGCCCGATGGACTGCAGGCCACTTCCTGGCCTTGCTCACATTGTGCCCTCTCTAGCGGTTCCCACACTGCAGGTGCATGGGAGTTGCCTGGAGCACTTACGAAGAATGCAAATTCCCCAAAGGTCCGGGAGTCTGGTGGGCACTGCAGGTATTCTGCCGTGGCAGCGGGCTGAAGGCTGCACTCTGAGACTGCCCATTGCTTGCTCTGGGGGCTCTCTGCAGTGAGTGTGCTGCTGCTGGTCTTTGAGTAACAAGTCTACCGTTCATTGACTCACATTGTCCTCGTCAGGGCAGGGGGGCCTCGAATCCAGCATGCGTGCCTTTGTGTAACGGGGCCGGGGGGGGGGGAGGTGTGCCCTCGCTTATTCTTCCAACAAATATTTGAGTGTCCACTGTGCCCCTAATGCTCTGAAAGTCACATAAGACAAGACTGTGCTCGAGGGGCTGGTGATGGAATTGAGAATACGCGACATCACCTCATATTTATCGGCAGTCATTATTTATTATTTAATCATTCATTTAAATCATTTATTATTTAATGATTTCTAAACATCCTTTAAATCACACAAGGCAGCAGCGTATGGGCGACAAATGCACGATCCACACTGAGCCTGGAGAAGCTCAGAGAAGGACTTTATGAAAGCTGGGGTTTGAGTTGAGGAGTAATAAAAATAATAATAATCCTTTACAATGTACATAGTGTATGTATTTATTTATTTTTATTGAGACATAATTCACATACCCTAATACTCACCAAGCAATTCAGCAATTTTTAGTATATTCACAAGGTTGTGTGACTCTTACTACTAATTTCTGAACATTTTTATTATCCCCAAAAGAAACTCTGTAACCATTAGCAGCCACTCCCCATTCCCTCACCCCAGCTCTTAGCAACCACTAATCTACTTTCTGTCTCTGTGGATTTGTCTATTCTGGACATTTCACAGAGACATGAAATCATAGAGTATGTGGCCTTTTGTGTCTGGCTCCTTTCACTCAGAACCTTGTTTTCAAGGTTCATCTTGTTATAGTATATATCAGTATTTCATTCACTTTTATTGCAAATAGCATTCCATTATATGGATATACTACATTTTGTTTATTCACTCATCAGGTAATGAATGTTGGATTGTTTCCACTTTTGGGCTATTATGGATAATGCTGCTGTAAAATTCGTGTACACGTTTTTGTGCGAACATATGTTTTCAATTCTCTTGGGTCTCTACCTAGCCGTGGAATTTCTGGGTCATGTGTTAACTTCATGTTTAATTATTTGAGGAACCGCCAGACTGTTTCCACAGTGGCTGTCCTGTTTTACATTCTCGCCAGCAATGTATGAAGGCTATACATGCAGTTTTACTAATTTTGAAATCCCTCTCACACCTTTGATGTCATTTAATACTCACAAGAGTCCTGCAAGAAGTTACCTTCATTTTTATAGATAAAGGGATTGCGTTGGTGAGGATTCTTTCAATTTCATGTAATAGAAACTCGATATAAAGTGACTACATCAGAAAAGGAAATGTACAAGCTTATGTAACGAGGAAGTGCAAAGGAGATTTGCTTCAGGTATGGCTGGATCAGAGTCTCACTTGAGACTCTTGTCTTTTTTCTCTCTATCTTCTTAGTTTTACTTCACTCTGCTGTCCTTCCCTGCAGCAGACAGAATTTCTCTGCCTGCTAGAAAGATGTAGCCAGCAGTTTCAAGCTTATACTTTATAGACTCTAAAGGGAGAAGACAGCTTTCCTCCTGGATCCAGCAGAAAAGTCCAGGGTTCTGGTTCATGCCCACCCCCGAACCAACCAGTGTCTGGAGAACATTGCACTATGATCGATCCAATCTGGGGCCCATGCCCAGCCCTGAGGAGTTGGGAAGAAAAGGGTGTTATGTTTGACAGCCCCACCAAAACCACGTATTACAGGAGAGAAGCTCTTCAAAGAAAACATAAAAGGGGGGATTACAAAATATAGTGGACAGAAAAAAATCCATACTTGCTAAGTCAACTTGAAGAATCTAAGCTCTAAGCAGCAAGGGCTTCATCCAAGATTCCACAGCGCCTACGTGGCAGAACTGGAATTAGAATCCAGGTGTTCTGACAGCAGGTTCAGAACTCATGACCGCATCACGAGCAGGCATTTCAGGCCAGGACTCATGAGCATGGGTAGCCCAGAGCCCTGTGGGTGGGCCCTCTGGCTCTCAAGCCCTGGGCCTGAGCCCTTCCTCTGTGGAGTACCTGTTTTCTCCAGGAAAGAAAGGTGGGTGAGATGCCATTTGCTCCAAAAGAACCCTGCTGTTTGGGGGCACTGATGACAGAAGCCTGGTTCTCCTATGACTAACACATTCTTCATAAAGCAACATTCTTGGGATGGCCCGATCGGGTCTGATTTTTCCACCCTTTCTCTGCATTTTCACCTCTGTGACCTAGGGTGATCAACTGTCCTGGTTGCTTGGGACTGAGGGACTTCCTGGGTTTCTGGGCTTTCACATTTCAAAACTGAGACAATTTCTGGCCAGCTGAGACAGGTTGGTCCCCTTATCCCGTGTTTCTGTCTATCTTGGACCCTCTGCCTCAGTTCGACTTTCCTTCCCGGTGTTCCTTGTCTCCTCACCCCCATGTCTCACTCTCTTCTCTGCTTCCAGGTGCCTCTAATGAATCTATGCTCCATGTGAGCATTGGGAGGTGAGGGGTCCGCCTTGTGGGGCACCCTGGGTCCGAGGCTCCTCTCTGTCCCCTCGTGCCCCTCACAGGTCTGGCCTCCTCCTTGTGCCTTCCTTGTCCATTTGTTTGTGCTTAGGAATTGCAAACTTTTTTAAAAAAAGATAAGCCTAAGCAAGCTTACAGTTACTGGGAAGGCACATCTTTTGCCAAAAAATGATATAATAAACTCCAAAGTTAAAACAAAGTAGTAAAAGGAGCTACAGATTGCTTTTGTTATCTGCTGTTTGAGTGATGTGTGACCCTGTTCCAAGACAATCATGAGGGCGATGGGGAAGTGACTGCATTTGTCACACACAAAGGGACTTTGAGGGCTTCCCTGGTTTCTGTTTGTCATGCCGGGTCCCATCCCTGCCAACAGAGTGAAGGATGTTAGCTTTGAGTAAATGCATTTACACCAGTAGCTTATGTTTGTCCCAGCCACATTCTACTTGAAGTAGAAAGCCCAGTCCAAAATGCTGGGTGGGTGATACCTTCTTCCAAATGCTGTGCCTGAGCCCTAACCTTCGTCCTGTTGTTGAGGGCCAGTGTCTGGGTTTTATATTGGATTAAGCCCTGTATACAACCTGTACTAAATCCAGGAACTTTTTTTTTTCTGATCTCCATTTCTCAAGCCACAAGTATGTACAGCATTTGCAGTAAAGAAATCAAAGGGAAGGAGTATGACCGTAGCACAAACAAGACACACAGGATGGATAAGGAAA